GGTTTATTTAACCAAAGTGTTTCAGTCAGGTTTCCTGAGCTCACTCAGGTTTACTGAGCAGGGTGCTCTGGTTTAGGGGAGGTGTGTGTATGAAATATGTGGTACCTAGAGAAACTAAAAGTTGTTTAAAAGAAATTATGAAGACAAGTGTTTCCCAGCATATGTTCAGAGGAACACTGGTCATGACGGATGTCTAGAAAGTCAAGTTTCCATGGCCAACTAGTTTGGGAAGCACTACATATTCTCTGCCCTTTTGGAGAGCAATCATGACATCAGCATATTAAAGACTGGAAGGTCTTGTGGTAAAGAAACATTTAACTTTATTTTACCTGATTCTCAAATGTACTGATCCTTGAATAATAGCCTCTTATCCACCGGAGCCCAGTCTGAGAAACCCCAGACTGAAACATTTATGATGCTCCAAATGAACTATCGGAAATTCTGTTTCTTGTTTGAAAGCGTGCCATGTAAATAATCCAATGCAGAGAAATTGAATGCTTTTATTATTTTAGGTTTAGAAATGAAAATGTAAGAATTGCATCCTTATGACAAATGGAAAATGAATCAGATTTGCTTGACTTGCCCAGTGATTTTTAATTTTTAGAATCTTCTGTGTAAACTAGCAATTATGATGATGCAGCCAGAAAATGGTATATAATTATATCTGTGAAATAATGGATAATGAGCACTTTTTTAAATGAAGAAAAAAAAAAATCCCTAAAGTAATTGGTGGATGATGAAAATAAATTAATTCACTTCAGTACTTAAAGAATAAAAATTACCCTGCTCCCTGAAGGTAATATATATACATATATAGGTCCTTTCATGTGAAAGATTACAACACACAAAAAAATGGTGAAATATTGAGGCAATATGGCACCCACTGTCTTTTCCCCAATAAATTCAGTCTTACATCTTAAGATGGTACATTTCCAGAGAGGCTGGTAAGCAGATGTTTCATAGCTAGTAAGAGATGGGATCCGGATGTGGACCAACTATTCTTATCTCTGGAGCCCATGTACTTAACCCCTAACTAGAGCTGCAGCCAATTAAAAAAAAAACAATAGAGAAAATATTTATTCTCCCCCCCACACACACACACTTCTCCCAACTGCCCAACCACCCAACCAAGGTAAATTTGTGTTGTAAAATTCTAAAATGCCATCCTAAATACTCTGTCGGTGAAAACGTTGCTAAACTGTCCTTTTCTGTGGCAGTTGGCTTTGGGAATATTTCACATTAGCATTGCAGAAGTGCTCTGCTCTATTACATTGTTAAAAAACGCTTTCATCTTTTAGGCCCCATCTGTACCAAAATATTCACAAGAACGGTTGGTGTCATCTGTCAGGAAAATAGCTGCCGGTGATGACCATGCACTCAGCCAGTTGGTTCTGTGGAGACAGACTGTGTATACAGGCCCCAAATCATAAATCGATCATAAAATAGTTCATTTAATGCATATTTATAGGCACGTTGCAGGTTTTCATAATGGTGGTTGCGCCATAGAATTGCAAATGTTTCACGAAATATAGGTACTTGTTTTTTTGATGTGAGATATCTTAATGCTGAACTTTGAGAATAAAATTGGGGGGATTGAGTAAATAAGAGAGAGCGCCACTCTGATTTATAAAGTTTCATTCCCTGTCGATGTTGCTTAATCATAGTTGCCGTCTGGATGTAGGGTGGGCTAAATGCAGTTACTGGGATTCTTCATAAAGCCCTGGAAAATTAATTGCCACAGTCAATAGTAAAAATACCATAAAAATCAACTTTTAAATTGTATTTAAAATGTAAAGATATTTCTGACAGAAAATGTATTACTAATTTTGAACACGAGGAAGTGGAAATTACTTTTTATACCTGAGATGGGACCAGACACTAAGTCTTTGGAGCAGGTTGTAAGCTTCTGTGTCCTGCCCCCTCCTCCGAAGAGAGATTGGTGTTCTTGGGACTTAGAAGCTCTTTTTCTCCTGGCAGGAGGGAGTGGTTGTTGGGTAGATTGTGCAGGTAGGTTTTACTGGCCTCTTACCTTCCTGATAACAGCTGAGGCACTGCTGAAACAGCCTTTCCCAGGTACTTCTGAGCAGGGTGCTGCCTGACATTGGACTTTGCCACGTCTTCCAGTATATACTTAAGTGTGTGTTCATGCCAAGGCCACTGCCCACGTGAAGTGCAGCGCCAAGTGCCCGGCTCGCCGGCTCTGCAGACGGCATCCCCTGGCGGAGGCCATCCTGCGCCCCGCGCAGCCCCAAGTCTCTGAGCTGCGATTCCATATCCCGGTGTCCTCCCCAACCTGGCTTATCCCGTCCCCGGGTTTGTATGCAGCTCTCCCAGGTCCTGTTCACTTTCTGTGTCCCCCAACAATATGACCCATGCAACAAATATTTTATACGGAGGCTGCCACCATTCTGGACACTGAGGCAATACAAAGGACCTCACCAGCTTTCACGACTGACAGAGTCACCCATCAGTTAATACACAAGTGACCTGTTCAAGAAACTAATCTGTCTCTGATTATAGTTCACTGCCTTGGTTCTGGCTCAGCTGAACATCACCACATCCACCCTGACTTTAGAGCAAAGGATGGTGTTTTTTTTTTCTATCAATATATTCTGACATAATCTACAATTCTCTGGTTAGCTTAAAAGCTGGATTTCTGAGACCAGGCTGGAAGTAATGATGTCATAACTGATGTTTTTAGATCTTTGTTATGGTCTCTTAGAATATTCCTGATTAGACAATTTGGGGTTAGATAATTCTTCAGTGAGAAAAAGCAAAATAAAGGGGAAAAGGAAGAATTTATCTCAGAAGCAAGTGAACTGTAGCATAAATTGCTCCTTCACCATTTATAGTGGTGACTGTTTACACTGATGGTGTCATTCACATATTTTGAGCCTTGGACAGTCATAGAGAAAATATGCACTTATCAGTCAACGCCAAAGACCAGTTACATAATAATGTAATGCTGGCCGTAGCACCTTATGGAATTTTTTTTAATTTAAAAATTGTTATTGATTCATTTCATATAAGGTCAATTATTTTAACACTTGCCTAATGTTCTTTGCTGGTCTTCAGAAGACACTGACGATAATTTAAAAAAATTATCCATTGGAGATTTTGCTCATGGGAACCAAAAGTAGATGTCATGGAAATCTCTGGCCTATACGCCTGAATACATAACCACTGAAAGCATATAAACATTCTAAAGTCAAACCTCCTAAATTTTTTTGTTTTTACTATTTTTTAACGATATAATCTCAATTGTATTGTACACTTTATTGTCTTTTAAGTAATACAGAGTGAAAATCTAACTTTTTGAGGACTACATGCCTAGCACAAAGCCTTAGGTATATGGGAGGCATCTCATATGTTAGAAATCTGCTTTCCTGTTAAATGTGATATAGTACAGTATTACTTCTGGGACTGCTGAAGTTTGAAGGTCTGTTCGCACCTGTACTAAGGATCCCAGCGTATGTCTTTTTTAATTAGCAATTATTTTATCTGCTTCCTCACTGTCTTATGCCACTGCTTAGGGCAAAGTGGTTTAAAACACTTCTTCCATCCTTCAAATTTTCTCTAAAAAAGCCAGAACTGAAGATCACCAGAGGAAATGAGACGATGACCTGAACATCATTAACTTCATTTTTATACCCAGATCTCTCTGTAGACTCTGGCGAGCAAAGTTCTGGGGGCTTTGATACTAAGTTGGGGGCCCATACCTTTGTGTTTTGTACAAGTATTTTTCTATACACATGGTGCATTTTCAGCTTTCCTTTTCCCTCAAAGCTCCTCACTCTGGCTTCAAAGATATGTTTCCCATGACTTAGACAAGTTATTGTATCTCTCTGTGCCTCAGGCTTCTCATCTGTAAAATGGGGACGTTAATAGTACCTACCATATAGAATAGTGGTGAGGGTTGAATTGATATTTGTAAAGTTCTTAAAGCAGTGATGCATAGTTAGGGTTAAATAATTTAAGGAAAAGATTGCCTGACCACTGGATAAGTGGTTCTTTAACCTTCTTAAAGCATCTGAGAAGATGCTTCTGGTATGGGATAATTTATACTTTCTTTGCTGAGGTAAGAGTGGAGTGATGTGGAGAAATTTGTATCTGAAGAAGCAGAAGTGAGAGGTGTTACCTAAAAAATCTGTAGGAAATGCTGGCTATGAGCCTGGGTCTTGATTGGATGAAGTAATGAATGGAAAGATGTTCATAGCAAGTCCTTTGGGGCTCTTCATAATATTTTTAAAAGGAGACAACAGAGATAAACTAGAAATACATATATGGATGGAGGGAATCGGGAGACAAAGCTTATACCAAGAGTTAGCAATTTTCTTTTGTGTCTAAAGACTGAAACAGCCCTGGCCAGTGAGGCCCAGTGGTTAGAGTGTCGGCCTGTGCACTGAGAAGTTGAGGGTTCGGTTCCGGGTTGAGGGCCGCTCGCACCTGGGTTGCAGGTTCGATCCCCGCCCTGGTTGGGGTATGTGCAGGAAGCTTTCTCTCTTTCTCTCTCTTCCTCTCTCACTCCCTCCCTTCCACTCTCTCCAAAAGCCTTTTTATTGGTTAATCAGGTGAGGATTAACCAATAAAAAGACTGAAACAGTGATTCTCAGAAGAGATTATATGCATATATGAATTTCCTTAAACAACCGTGTGGCTTCCATGTCAGCTTCTTCCGTGGAGAAGGGCAGGAGCCATCTGCTTTGTTAGGGAAAGCAGACACTGTGTTCGTGTGGATGTACGAGGGGGTGCTGTGCGGGCCTCCGTGAAGCTTGGGGCCCCTTGGCATTGCAAGTGCTTCTTGGGGCCCGGAGGCAGAGGCCCGCCGCGCCGTGCAGGCCCGGCCCAGACGTTCCTGGCGCGGGCTTGGCCGCTCCTGCGCTGCGGTGGCTGCCCTTTGCCCCGGCTCCTGGCCGAAGGCGGCTCAGTTGTAATTTGTTCTTGGGCACCGGAGTGCGGCCCTGTCCAACCGCAGCGAGTGTTTATCTTGTAATCCACAGACAAGAAGAAGGGAGGCAAATTCCAGCCTTTTAAGAAGTTGTTTGGCAAAAGGAAAAAGAAAGACACTTCAATTTGCCGGGAGACGCCTGCAGGGAAGAAGAGTCACACTCCCCAGAGCATCAGCAATGGCACCTTTTCTTCCGACGAGGAGGACAATCTAAGGTAATAACTCACTTTTTTTTAATCTTCGGCATAGTCCAGGGTGGGGTGCGGGATCCCAGGGGATGTGCACCATCTCTGGGAAGGTGGAAGACTTGCGGCACTTGGTGTGTCCTGTGCAGAAGCCGCCTCGGGGCGCTGGAAAGCGAGCTTGGCCTCGCTTCCCCGGAGAGCACAGGGATCTTCCTCTGTTCTGCTGCCCTGGCTGGTGGCGGGAGGCAGCGCAGAATTGGCTCGGCTCAGCAGGTATCCTTGGATTGAGGAAGACCTGGTTGCCATGTCTCATTGTTTGGAAAAGAGGAAGGTTGGTCACAGATTAGGGTTTACACCCGTATCGAGGATATGGACTGCTCAGGCACTCGGTGGTCCCCCGTCACACCCTTGGCCATCTCTAGCAACTTCCAGAACCTGTCTGCGATGCGCTTTCAAATCCTGCCCTTTGTTTTCTATGCTCTTCTCTTCCTTTCCCTCCCTTTCTTAGAACAGACACAGGCACTGAATCTGGCCCTAACACTGTACAGAACTCACAAATGCAGGGTCAGAAGGTCCTTTCTCACCTGAGTGCTGGGAATTGGAGTCGGAGTCAGAGATGTTGCTGCTGACAGCTCAGAAGCCAGCCCCTCCAAGAAGCCCTTGCCCACTGCCCGATGTGATTCACTTGCCTTCAGCTGGGTTCCCCCAGCACCATGTGCCTGGCTCCAGCTGGCACTTGTCACTTTGTATGGAAATTACTGGTTTGCTTTGCTTCTCTCTCATTCAACTACTAGTTCCATGAAGTCAGGGCCTCATCTTAGATATTCAAAAAATGTCCCCTGGGACTGCCTGGCACTGCATAAATTCCTCATGTAGTACAGCAGGGCTTTGAATAACATTCCCTTCAACATCGTTTCATTGTAACATTGATGAGAAAAAAGTGGTTCCCACCAGGCCACTGTCTGGGTGGGCTTTCTCCGGGGACTCCCAAAGACGTGCACGTGAGATGAGCGGGCGTGTCTGCATTGTCCCAGTCTGAGTGTGGGGGTGTGGGCGTGGGCGTGGGCGTGGGTGTGGGTGTGGGTGTGGGTGTGGGTATGAGTGGCCCTGTGATGGACCGGTGTCCTGTCCAGGGCTGGGTCCTGCCTTCTGTCTTGAGCTGAAGGGATAGGCTGTGGCCACCTACCACCCTGAACTGGAATAAGTGGGCTGAGAAAGAATAATTTTACCTGTTTTTATTAATCTTTTTAAAATGTATGTATAGCTCACATTTATTTCAGTGTTTAGTATTAGAAGTGTTTGGGGTCTTTATTTAGAAGTTTAATGATGTTTTTGTGCACAGAAATATGGACCTTAACTCTTGTTTACATCAGTCTATAGTAAAGTTGGTCTTGTGTTGTCTCACTTAAAGTTGCTGCTTCTAAGAACCTGTTGACAATGTGATGTCCTACTGTACATGTTGAAGGAATAGATGATGTAATCTGTGTTGTTCTTACTGTATTTCAAGGACAGGGCCAGAAGCACCCTCTGAGGTGTGTGTCAGTAAGCAGATTCTAATGGAGACCACAACTGAGCACAAATTACAGGATCCGCAGGAAAGCCGTGTACTTAAGCTCCACAAGCGCTCACCAGCACTTGTTAGCGCCAGTATTGACTCTTTTCCTCGACAGGCCCGTGTTTGTTTTCCATTGTCTTTAGTAAGAAAACTTGAATTTAACTGAAGGAAATGATTTTACTGGAAGGCGAACACAGCTAGCACTGAACTCGCCCAACTGTTGGGAGGTCAGTCCTGATCATAGTTAAGTATTGTCCAGTGTGAGTCCATTTTGGTTTCACCTCAGTTCCTTCACTTGTAAATTAGGAACATGAGCCTTTTTGCCTCTCAGTATCAGAATGACATACAGATACCAAAATGTCACCAAGTCATTCTTTAATGTAGTGTGGGATTGAGTGTAGAAGGTTCTCCTTCGGAAGGACGGTCCTGTGAAAACACAGCTCGTCCTTTCCGAGATTTTGCCCACTCCCCGATTTCTTACTGAATTATGCCTGGACCCTGGTCGTTCTCTTCTCACTTAAGTTCCATTCCTTTACCCCTTGAAGTTTCCTTTAGGTTTGAATTTTTACAAAGCCTCAGAAAATTCCACATTGGATCAAACAGCAGCATTTCTATAAAATACAGGTCATGTCACCTGTTTTTATTATTGACTCTTGTTGATAAACCTACATTTGTGAGACATACACTATATTTTATTTAAAACTTATTTTTTAGAGAGAGATGAAGGGAGAGGGAGAGAGAGAAAAACATGTGAGAGCAAGCGTGGATCGGCCCCCTGCATGCCCCTCACAGGGAATGAGCCTGCGACTGGGAATCGAAACAGCAACCTCTCGGTGCGCAGGACAACACCCAACCACCTGTGCCCACACCAGCCAGGGTGACATACACTATATTTTAGTTAACATTTGTCTTAATAATGAAGATGGAAGGATAAGCTTTGGATGAAAAGTTTTCAAAAATGTCTCCTTAAATATATTTAAAATTAAAATAATAATAATATATATACATATATATATTTAAAATTTAAAAAGACAAGAATATAGAAATCATGTAAAACATGTATTCCCCTTCTCGGAAATCGACAATTGCCATATAAATCCACCCACAAAGTAAATATTGCATTCATTGCTTACAGTATAGCCAAAGTTCTGATTATTTGTCCTATTTACAGATGGAGACGATGAAAGATGTTGTTTCCAACAATCTTATTTTCAGTTCACTGCTCCGCCGATGGACGTGGTACTTCACATTGTGTGATGATTCACAGAATTTCTGCGCATTTTATTTGCCGTCTCCAAAATGGACAGCTCTCACTAAAACATACAGTTCTGTTAACGTGATCTTGGGGAGAGGTTCCAAGGAGGCAGATTTCAGCCCCATGTGAGGGAGAATTTCCTAATTAGTAATTTTCCTAATTACTGCCCAAAATGGGGTGGCCGAGGGAGTACCAGCAGGGGTCGGGACTGATGACAGGGAATTTCGGCACTGGTGGGACTTTAAAGGAGCTGAACTTTGATTCCAAGAATCCGTAATTCCAGAAACATCTCCGTGGCCAAAAATAGCTCGTTATTGATCTGCTCCTTCTGCCTGAAATTTCTCATTTCCTTTGGGCTTTTAAAGCATTCTGTTCTTTCTCTAGGTTAGAAGCCTTCATTTCTCCTGGGCTGCTGCTTTTAAATTGTACATGCCTGTGGGAAAAAGCAAAACAGTTAAACATGATCAGTTTTTAACAACTTAATGTGACTTCCTTTATTAATTAAATACAACTGATACTGTGTTTCCCAAAGTGTGTTAAATGGATGTTAAATTTAAAAGGGGAGCCTGGCTGGGTGTGGCTCAGCAGTTGAGCGTCCACCTAGGATCCAGGCAATCCTGGTCCGATTCCCGGTCAGGGCACATGCCCGGGTTGTGGGCTCTATCAATGACTCATCATTGATGTTTCTGTCTCTCTCTCTCCCTCTCCTTTCCTCTCTCTGAAATCAATAAAGATATATTTTAAGAAATAAATAAATAAAATTAAATTTAAAAGGGGAGAAAGGGTCATTTTGGCAAATAGATTTGAGAAATTCTGGGCCAAAACAAATTAAATAGAATCCTTTACGTAGGACTTAAGAGAGCCTTCACTATGCTAATGTACTCTGAGAATCTGCAAGAAGAAGGGTGTAGTATAGAGCATTTCCAAGGTTGCTTTAACCACAAACCCTTTTCATAGGGGATATGCTGTAGCATATATTAAAGCTGCCACTTGCTGAATTTAATACAGCGTGTTTTGTATAGATTTACTCATGTAATACTTACCAAGGCACCCTGAGATTGACATTCTTATCCCCATTTCAAAGATGAGAAAACTAAGGCCAGAGATTGACTTGCTGGCAAGTTGCTGAGCCACTACTCAAGGGGTGAAGAGGCCATTCTCAACCACCCACTATTCTGCCGCAGCCTTCCTAGGGAGCTGGTCTCATGGCCCTGAGTTGCCCTGCTGGTCCTGAGTGGCCAGGCTCAGGTGTGCTGCTGCTTTTAGCTGCCTGACTGAGGCTCTCCTTCTTTCTGGGACTCTGCTTGTCCTGCTTGCAGTTTCTGCCTCACACACAGCCTTTACTGCAGCACTTCATAGTGCGGGCCGGCTGGAAGCCACAGTGAGAGCTGAAGGGGCTCCAAGGAGGGCGAGCGCGCTGTGGGACTGGAGCTGCCAGGAAGGGGTCAGGAGTGAGGACCCAGACTCATTGAGCGGGGTCCAGGCGATGGGCAGGATTTGGAGTGGCTGAGAGACAAGGTACGAACATCTGAGATCCGGAACAGCAGGGGCAGGGACTTCCCCATAAGAAGAATGTGGCAAATAGAATAGGAGGGAACTTTCCAGCTCACTCTGTGAGGCCAGCGTTACCCTGATCTAAAAGCTAGGCCAAGACAAAAAACTACAGATCACTGTCCCTTATGAATGCAGACTAAAAATCCTCAACAAAATACTAGCAAACTGAATCCGGCAGTATATAAAAAGAATTGTACACCATGATCAAGTGGGATTTATTCCAAGAGTGCAAGGTTAGTTTAACATACAAAAACTATTCAATATAATTCACCATACTAATAAAATAAAGGACAAAAAACACGTCATCTCAACAGAAGCAGAAAAACCATTTGACAAAGTCCAACATGATAAAAACATTCGAATAGAATCAAAGGGAACTTCTTTAGCTTAATAAAGGGCAGCTACAAAATATCCAGTGTACGGGTAATGTGTTATGCGTTTGTACACTTGAAACCGATATAATTTTATTAATGTCACCCCAATAAATTAAATTAAAAAGTTACTTAAACATATACTAAAAAAAAAAAAAATCTAAATAGGTGGAAAGACATCCCATATTTATGGTTCAGAAAACGTAATGTTAAGATGGCAGTACTCCCCAAATTGATCTACAGACTCATTGCAATCCCTGTCAAAACTTACCTGCCTTTTCTGCAGAAACTGACA